AACTGAGAAAGCTGGGAACCTGCGATTTCAAAGGAATGTTCCCTGCCCAAGTGTAGCGTGGATAATTAACTTCCCGAAATTCGAGAACCAGTATGTACAAAAGGTTTCTAGCTAGCGGAATTTCGAGTGATCTTATTACGCACGAAACATTGCAAAAACGCATGATCGCACAGGTCCGCCGGTGCGCGTCGCCAATGATTTTGTTCAAATGCTCTCCTACACCGTTTACAGCAGAAGCAGACTCACCCATAATTCCAGCTAGTATATACTGCCAGTTCAGTGTACGTACAAAAAAAAGGAAAAAAAAAGCATAAAAACGTTTTGTTACCGCGCAAGCTTGAATTAAAAGTTCACTACCAAGTCTCATAATTTTAATCAAAACTTACCGCATAAATCACGAACAATCCAGTGGCCTGTTTGTTTTCGGAACTGTTATATAGTACTTTCCAATCACTTGTTGCTCGGAATGGTTCGTTGCGCTTATACTCTTCAAAAGTTTGCAGGCCACTCGGCCCTGGAGCTTCCAAATCCTCATTTTTTGGGTTTTCTAGTACGGGCTCTTTTTCTTCAGTAGCAGCTACTGGTTTTGCAGCCGGAGCTGCTGACTTATCTATTGCGTCTTCAGCCGGAACTGTTGATTCATCCTTCACTGATTTAGCCGGAATTGCTGGCTCATTTTCTGCCTTCCCAGTTGGAATAACTGATTCAGTTATTCTATCCACATCTGCAGGAATATTTTCTGCTTTCCTGTGCTGAATTGGCGGATCCATGTTGTATTCCAATTCCGGAGCACTTGGTTTAATAAGCGCGCGCATCAAATTCCATGCATCTTCTCTTTTAATCTGTAAATACATTGTCTTCAGTCTGTGAAAAGGCCGTTCCCTAGCCGGTAGACTTTTTTTCTATATTTAGCATTACACCACCATGTCGCCTAAAACGTTATGCAACGTTTTATGCTACGTTATGCGATGTTTTATGCGACATGATGGTGTAATGCTAAATGCACGCAGAGACATCTCGAAAGGGTCATGTCCATGCCATACTATTTTCGTCGGGAGAATCTCTGAGGTAATAATCTTTTCAAGAGACAAAGCAAACGCCAGAATCGCCAGCAGCTTGACCACCAGACAGAGTAAAATTGGTCAGAGCAACTTGATAAGTTGCCAGTTGCACAGCTGGGGAATGACTCTATGAAATGCAGCTGATCAAAACATCAAACACGTCTTGTTTCTACAAATGCGGAAATAGTAAGATCAAGAACTCCATCTGACTTTGACAATGCTAAAGGGTTTGATTGTAGCAGCAACAATTGCAACAATCACAAAAGATAAGTGACTTGAAATCCCCGCAGAACTTTTGAGTTTTTAACTCAAAAGTGATTTTGAAACGGCCGCGCGAGCGATCCTTCATATCCTTGTGAGTATCAGTCACCAATATGCAAGCGTCCACCAGATATCGGTAGGTTAAGAAGCATTTTTTGCCTATCGGATTTTACTTTCTGACATAGTCGCAACGATACCCTGACGCTCATCGGAGGAAAGTCTGACTGTTTTTATGGTCAGGAGGAGACACGCCAAGCATCTGCCGCTTCGTCGTTTTCACCGGATTCATATTTCTTGTTTCTTTAACAAAAGAAACTCCTATGCACTTATCGAATAAAATTACCTGCTGATAGCTGAACTCATATATGGTCATGCTGTCCGGTCCAAGCCGATTTGAAGCAATTATTGGGACCATATTTGTTTCCGAAATGATCATCAGACCGTCTCCAAGTTTATCTTGACAACAAAAACTGCAATCGACTTTTGCTCAGAAACATGTTTTGTTTTGAAGATTATTGAACAATAATGGGATATGTAAAATATAAAATTATCAAGAATTAAATGAACAGAAATGCTTCAGTTCATTAAGCCGTATACATCACGATTGAACCTTTTTAGTATGGTTGTGATGTCCATAAGCGGTGGTGTGAAATAAAAAAAAATTGCATAGATTTTTTATGCAAAACTTGCCGTCAAATCGGCCAATCTGAATGGTTTTCGTAAGTAAACCAATCTGAATGGTTTTCGTAAGTAAAAATTAACAAATGTATTACATGGCACCAGAAGCTCGTTGATCGTGCAAATATTTCACTTCTACTCCGCCACTATTGCAGCCTTGATCACATATACTTCCCGTCTGTAGCAATTCAATCAGTATGACATTATCAGGATTTTCCTGCAAAATACTCCTGTAACCACTCAAAGGCAATCCAAATCCTCATTATTTTCATTCCACTCGTTCTCTCTGCTCTCCCACCCCTCTTTCTCCACTCACTCTTGTCTTGCAAGTCTGCCAAAGGCATGATAGGAGGCTGTACTGACGATTCATTGTTCTATTCCCACACAGAGCTCTGCCTGTGTTTTCGGCTAAGGGATGAAACGAACCGGACAAAACACAGACCGCTTTTTCACACTTTTATTTATAACATTACTTGTAATTCTTATGCCTCCCTTCTAGTATTCCAGTAGAGGCAGTGCATCACAGACTTTGAGTACAAATCACTCTATGCTTAAGGGTGAGTGCAACTCAACACGGCGAGGTGCTAAATTGTGTAGGATGCCTCTTGTGCCGGGACTGGCAAAACTTGGCCTTTTTGCCTTGGAATCTTTCATCTTAGTGCTTTTGCTGGACGAAACAATTTGTACGGAATCGAAAATCAGCTTGCAGAAATTTGGCTCAACCACACGGAGGAAGTAAGTTGTGCAACTGCAACGTTCCTGGGAACTTACCGCTGCTATCCATGTGGTTTGATGCAGAACGCCTCCGCTAACAGCATCCATAAAAAACTGCAGTTCATTTTTCGCTACAAGTGTCGCACCACCATCCTCAGTCTGTAATTTTTCTCTTATCAACAAAGTTTGTCTAGCAATAATAAGCTAGTACAGAAGTTTCACTGCACCAATGGGACAAGCAATCCGTCTACTATTTCTTCGTCCGTTTTGATGACAAATTGGTACCGGCGCATGCCAGAGAGTCAAGTTCGCCATCAGCTTGCTTCCAAGTTATTCTTGAAATATCACGAAAAAGCATCGGAAACCTTGTAGTGAAAGGTTGTCGCTGGCGTTTGCTCTCATCTTGACCATTTTTGGGTTTTTTGACTTCTCATAAAAAAATGAGTACGAGGCGGCCTTGACATTTGAAAAACGATGAGGGCTTAAAATGCAATATGCTTCGTGTGCTTTGTCGAGGTTCATGGGCAGTGAGAGCGAGGTATTCGCATGAGGTTCGAGTGGTAGCAAATGTCAAGAGCAACCACCCGCTGGCAAGGCTGTCGATGACTCCCGCTTCTGAGGGTTGCTGTACTTGTGGTACTACTTATTTGATCACCACGACTAGACACATAGCGTGCTGGCAATTAATACGCTTGCTCTAACAGGAAATGGTGCAGAAGTGTCAAACAAAGAACAGCAAGACCACTTGAAGAATCAGCGTAGATATCCAGTGTTAGTGATTTTACTCAAACGCTCCCACACTTCCGCCTCAGCTTTGCTAGAACTTCGATCCTAGGCTGCACGTCTCCAGCGGGTGGCGAATACGAAACAAAAAAATCCGATTTTTTGAAAGTATTACCTGTCTTTCGCAGTTTTCACCATTGTATCCAGATGGACAAATGCAGATGTTGCTCTCGACCAGTTTATAACCACCGTTTGCGCATTCAGATGCTAAAAAGCAAGCACGAGTGATGAAGGGGGAGGGGGGAGGGGGCCATGTAGTAGGTTGTATTTATTATTATTTACGGGATAAAATAGATGATGGAAGCCCAGCTAGGAGTACGCATCAGGGTTTTTACTGCAAGTATGCGCTTTGCAGCCGGTAACTGACCTTATTTTTATGCGAGGCTTTGCTAGTCTATGTGAAAGCTGATGCCATAGTTTCTCGTGCTCTAAAGAAACACGCAGTATCCTCATCAAATTCACCCTCCCTCTCTGCCTAAACACCAAGAAAGTAAGATGATGCCTTTTTCCCATACAATACACAAGCGTACCAATGCAATCGTAATGAGTGTTCACAGCATACAAATCGAAGAATGATGGTTTCTTTTGACCCATTGTTTCCTGGTAGCGCAGATCGGTCGGTTCCAGAACTGACTTGTTTTCCTTGCCATACCTGAACAGTTTCGTTCTTATAAATTTCTGTACTTCAATTGAATTTGGACTGAGAGCCACCCTTAAAGAATCACTGATCAGGTTTATTCTGAATTTCGGAACTACAGAACTAAATAAGTGAAAACTTCAAAAGTCTTAGGTTTTACTGTATCGGACAATAAAAATTCACCCCTGCCTTGGATTGGATTCACAATCTTCAGTTTAACATGATTTAATATGATTGTAAAACTATTGTGTCTTAAATTACAGTCTAATTAGGCTGTCATGTGTAAAACACATTCAGTCATCAAATCGAATTTTCCAATCCTGAATTTAACATCCATCTTAGTTCGATTTTGCACAATCGTCACTCCCCAATTAGCGGCTCAAAAAGGTGTCAGACTTGAAAGCAAACAAAATTTTAGCCACTTAGCCGAATGGGTTAAAAAAATTATCATGATGGAAATCCTCAACTGCCTCCCGCATCTTCTGAAGCGACCATTCAGTGCAAGCGCGAAAAATTTTTTCTGTCGAAATCTGCATAGTTAAATCGGTCTTCCCGGGTACACTGCGTTACAATCACTTTGAACTATTTTGCGAAGAAACGAACAAGAAAAATACAAATTTGTCTCGAGTAAAACCGACAAGTGGAAAAGCTACTGTTAGTTACCGAGAAGCTTTACAGTCATGGTAATCTCCAAAAGGACACAAAAAAAAAATCGAGGAATATCGAAATTTTCAGTTTCAAACGTTTAGTTGTAATCCGTTAAAATATTACGAGACACGCAGACAGACGAACGAACGAACAAACAATCCATCTATCAAAAAGACATAAAGGTGATAATTTGAAAAATTTGAAAAACTGATAGTGCGAAAGAAAAATAAAATTAGAGCCCCGAGCAGGAACATTTTGATCCATCGAGTTACATAAACTCTTATTCAGTGCATGTCAGTTAGTTCTCATTAGCGTAAATTCCTGTTGGCCCTCGTCAGTAGTGTGTTAATTATGCGTTTTTGCCGTGCAGCGCTAGAGCGCTGCAACAGGCAGCAAAAACGCATATTGGAA